GTTTTAAAGTTGGGCATGAAATTTGTTTTATTTTTTTATATTTTTTTAGGCGGAGACATTTACTGGCAGTTTTTTGTTTAATTATTTCTTTTTTTTTTTGGATATACGTTCATAAAAAATTAGCAAACATTTAAAATGAGCTTATAAAATAAAACAATTGAATTAATTTTGACCGCCCAAATATTTTGTTTATTTGTGTTAATTTTACATTTACATCATTAGAGGTACTCTTTATATGCATGTTTTTAGAAATGAGCCCAACAAAGTACAGAGAGATTTTTGTTTGTTAAATTTTCTTTGGTAAATGTTTTTTCCACTTTACGCTTACGAACACATGTATAATTAATTAAATTAAATTAAACTATGCAACTTAATTAACTGGCCATCGAGGTGGATTGCCATTTATTAAACGAAAAATGCCCACGTGAACTCAAACTAGAATAATACGAATTTAGATTCGGGGAATATTTACGATCTCTCGACTCTTATGCTAACACTGGTCATGAGGATCGCGAACCCAGTGGCCAGGGCGAACAGCAAAGGCATCTGCGATGAACCAATGGCAGTGGCGCCATTGCACAACTCCTGGGTGCAGGCGCAGTAGGTGGCGGARACATCGTGGGTGCCCGAACGCCTTATGCACTCCTTGTCGGTGCGCTCATCGGGTATATAGCCACAGCCGCGCACAATGCGAGTCTTGCCATAAACTGTAAATTAGAGTTTATGTCAGCCCAACAGATAAGAGTATTTTGAAGAGCAAACTGATATACTTGCTCAACAATTCACTTTTCTAATTATTCACCCGATTTCAATCAAACTTACTCTTCTGAACAGTCTTGCGGCACAGTATGGGCTTGTATTTGTCCTTCAGGTGCTCCAAAGGCTCCTGTTTGCTGCAGTTCACCTCGCCGATGGAGTAAGGCTGAAAGGGATCACCGCAACGTGGATCGTACTCGCTGTTGCAGTCATAGCACATAAGTGCCGTTGAAACTGTAAAGGGCAAGTGTAGAAGAAGAGAGAAAGAGACTTTAATACAAATCCATCCATAATCATATCAAATTGCATTATGTATATGTGAATGCCTCTCTGYGTGTGTGTGTGTGAGTGTATGTGTGCAATGCCACTCGCAAATGCCAGGGCTGCGTTGTCTAACAATGCGAGCCATTTGAAAAGCCAACGATATGGCTGCAAKGGGYTCTCAGGGGTGGAGTGGGTGTCACTTTGGCATTATATTTGTATTGCATAAACCTGAGCGCTTACCTTGTATGCAGCACAGCACGCCTAACAACAGCAACGTTTTTTCCATAAATGGTGACATTTCAGTAGCTGTAGTTGTTTTTGTTGTTAATGTTCTTTTATGTACTTTGCACTTGTATTTTCTATTCAGCTGTCAATGAAATGCGGTAAATGTCTTTATTCTTGTTTAACTCGAGTTAAATTATCATGTTAGCTGAAAAACAAGAAGATTAAATAAGTAAAGTTGTTTTTTTTTCACACTTTTTTTCATTTAGTTAATTTATATAATCTGCGAGTTTTATTATAATTTCTTATTTGAATTCATTTTCTGCACTTGTTTTACTTGTTATATTCGTATTGAAGACTGGAAGTCTGCTCAACACTTTAAAGCGAATGAACTTAATTGTGAACCATTTAGCTCAACGAAAATCGTTTGACAAAAATAAATAGAACTGCGTGAG